TTTGATTCATTTAATTTTGACCGTTTGTGCAATCTTAATCTGGCTCCCTCCCAGATTCGTTCTAGGTATTACTTGTGCGAAGGCACAGTGTGACGTGACGCGAATTCAGCGCAAACTTTTGCATAGGAGTCTAATATGCCAAATGCCGCAAGATCTGCGTGATCGTACATTTTATAAAAACACGGGAGCTGGAACTAAGAACTGTCTCTGTATGCGAAAGCAGTTGTCCTTGGTCATTTTTGGATCTGTGATAAGTTGCGACAGAGATATTTCCCAAGAGAACGATGAGCACAAGACATGCTTTGTGAACAGAGTACTGGTCCTGTGGTGTCTTTGTCCAAAAGATACTAACATAGTATAAGGAGTGTCTAGCAGAAGGTGAATGCAAAATGCCTTCCTTTAGTTATCAATCAGAAAATCACAGCTGGTAACAGTCTATTATAGGGATGACTGCGGAACTAAAACACCCAACTGTGATCGTCCGTGCTCTAAGTAGAATGGTGACCCACTTCTTACTGATGTTCACCTGCCTATTTTAAAAAATACCGTGCAAGTCTTGCTAATATTCGTTGAAAAAGCAGGGTTTACGTGAGAAGCCTATGACGCAAAAGAATGCCTTCAAATAGGAAAACGAAAGCCAGAAAATGTCCGCATTAAGGTAACTAGCCAAGAATAAACTCTAATGCTGTGACGTTTTTCACCAAGTTAACCCTCACGCAATTCTATCTTCAGCACTTTGTCCTTCTTCTGCCGTCAATAAGCTCACACGGGCGCGATCAATATGATTTATTTGATTGTAAAAAAACATCGATAATCATTACTAAAGGCGTTAGAAAGATTCACAATATTTCTTAGCTTATGATAGCCTCGAAACCATCTACACCCCTCGTGGTTTCCCAGAATTAACGGATCATTACTAAAATAAGCAACCTAATTCGAAATGCAACGTGCTATGTTCGCATAAATTTCAATGACTCTTGATCCTGCCTATAATGACCAATATCTGTAATTTTTTCTCGGACACGGATTGCAAAGTCAGAAATATGGTATAGAAGGTAGTAGACCCTTATAAATGGAAACTAACCATCGGATGAATATCACTCACAAACCATAATTAGGCCTCCGCATAAAAAGGTCCGCACGGTTGATTGACGCCTGCTGTAGGCAGGAGTGCAAATTTAATAGGTCCACTGTTCCTGTTTTTTGCGTAATCAACAAGCATATTTACATCAAGCGCCTCATCAAATTATGTAAAGTGCCTCGTAAAGTTCGCCACGATAATAACGTTCGTTGAGCCATCCACAAACTCCCAAAGGGTTTTTGCAATTTCTGGAGATTCGTATGTCTTTTCAAATCATTCTGCTGTCGTGACGACTTCTACTGCTGCTGCTCCCGATACTGATGATACGGATGATCATCATTATGTAAGAATGACGTTCTTTTGATGAGAATGAGGATGATAATGATGAGGAGAAGAAGGAGAAGAAAGAAGGAGGAGGATGATGATGATGGTGATGAGAAGGAGGAGGAGGAGGATTCAGAGTTGGAGTCAGATTCAGACTCAGAGTCCGAGTCAGAGTCCGATTCAGAGTCGGAGTCGGAGGAAGAGGAGGAGGAGAAGAAGAAAGAAGATTCTGACGATGAGGAAGTTGATGATGATTATGGTGATAATGATGACGAGAAGAAGGAGGAGGGGGAGGCGAGTGCTGATGCTGATGGTTGTGGTGGTTGCGCTGGATCTTCGGGTTGACCGGTATTATTTTCCTTCCAGCTCTCCAGTTGGCTATTGGGAGACAGTCCTTCCACATTGACATGCTGCTGGTTTTGGAACCCCGCGAATCTAAATATATTACCAATGCGGTCAAAAAAGTAACTGCATTTGCTTTGTTTTGTATTGAGAGATATTATGACACTTTGTGTTACGTAAATATACAGTAGTATATCGTGCAGAATATAAAAAATGTTTAGGTTGGTTAAACGAAAGGGTGCCTTTAAGAAGACAAAGTGTTCCTATAGCATACAGGCGTGAAAAAGCAAAATAAGTCTTCAGAAAATCCAAAATTTAACTAATGTTTAGCATCATTTTTTGCTTTTCATTCATGAACTCTCTCCTCGTTTTTAATCTGCCAAGGCTGTCTTATGTTTTACTGGCAAGACGGCATTTTTATCTTGCCAAGAGCCGACAACATATAACAGAGTAATAAAGATAAAAGCATGCTATCTTATGGTTGCTATAACTTTTCCATTCATCTGT